ACATATAGACGATCGGCGGGCTATGGAGCCGCTAATCGCCTATATGTGAAACACCCGGTAACGGGTGTGTGCAATGGTCAGGTCTTTTCTGCCCGTGCATGCCCGCTAGGGGGCGCGCACGAGCAGAAAAAAAATGCCGTCTGGAGACGGCAACCCGCCATTGCTGCAGTGCCGTCCGTCCGTTTTTTTACTACGGGCGGACGGCAAGTGGTTAAAGACATAATTTTGCAGACTAGAAAAGAGCAGTTGTTTGTTTTTGTTTTTTTTCCATAGCTGGCTATATGCATTGTTGGAATCTAACTTCAAAAGCTTGTCGACCTCCTATATAGTTTAGCAATTTGTACATGAGAATTGTTGACCATGTCTCCTTCCTGTTGGCATACAACAGAGTAGAAAAGGTATATCTACAGACTATCTAAACAGTTTAAATATATACTGTAAGTATATAAGTAAATATATATAGAGGGAGAGAAAGCGCTTTTACTCGATAAACTACAATAAGAGTACAAACTGATGGAAATCTGGGGACACAGAAAAGGACTCATTCACACTAAAAACGCTACATTTCAGTGCATTGCTAAATATCACTTTTTAGGGCTCATACATATCAATAGTGGTAACTGGCATTTTTCAGCAACTGATTAAGGCAGTTACCACTAGAGCACAGAGAAAACAATTGTTCACACCAGAACGTGGGTGTGATGCAGTGCACAAAATAGCAGACACACTGCCTTGTTTTACAGCACACTGGATGACACCCTTTGCACCACAGTACACCCCACTGCTGTGTGTGTGGAGACCCTTAGTGACACTTTGTACACCCCAAATAAAGTTTAAAAAAAAAAAGGAAACTGTGTGCATCACATCGCCCCCCGGAAGACCTGTCACACCATTCTAAACTCAGTGTTTTAGTGTCGGGCTAGTGTGAGCTAGCGCTTGATGAAACACATAAAATCAAGAAATTATGTGCACCGAAATTTTAAAATACACTGAGGCCACAGCACTTTTAGTAATAATGGCTATGATATATAACTATTATATATTAAATGTGAAGAAATAATAATAAGGGTCGATTAGTCCCCCCAGCCACTGATAACAAACAAGTATGTGTGTATAGGAATAAACAGCAATAGTTCAATGTAATCTGTCCTATATGAATGAACATAATACCTCCAAATGGTCTTAAAAATTTGTTGGGACATATCCCTTGAATCATCAAGCATGAATCCAAACTATGATGAAGAGAGACCGCAGTTCCACCTTGTTCTTGATGAGATATATCCCTAAATCTGAATTGTAAATCCAGCAGTCCAGACTAATGTATATGATTCACCACGCAGACATCATGCAAAATTCCTCAGTGGCTGCGTTAACATGTAATAGCGAAATTCCCATAAAGCTGTTGCTGAAGGTAACATACAGAGAAGCAGCTTCACAATGGCAATTCCTCAATCAGCAATAGACAACTAAATATACTATTGGTATGATGATCAGAGATGCTTTCAGAGGAATAATGCATTCATGCACAGATGCTGAGGTCACTTGTGTCTATGTGCCAGTGTAGCGCAATCACAGAACATTGGCAACTGCTAATGGCAACCACAAGAACGTTCAAACATGTGCTAGATAAGGAATACTGCTTACATTGTTTGTGCATTTTGCTTGCACATAACGTTTGTTGGATGCCATGTTTTGGGTTATGGTGCTTTCCAGTTTTATGCTGCTTCTCTGACCAATGTAGCAGCTTTTTAAAAAGACTTTGTGAGAAAACAGATGATCGTTCCCCCCGTGAAAGCCTTGACAGGCAAGATGTTGGGGCTTGTGGCGTCTCCTTGAGGACCAAACAGCTTGACCACCCTTTCAGCTCACCTTACTGTATGCAGCTGCAGACCATGAGCCACCCTAGAAGTTACACCGATCCTCCGGAGATGCCATTCGATTGGAGAGTTTCCAACATTTTACTGTATCATGTACAGCATTGCTGAGTGGGCCATATTCCTGCCAAGACAATGATTTGTCCAAGTGTGCTTATAGTTTGAGCAGTAAGGACTGAGCTCTTACTGTCATTGATACTTCATGCTATACACAGTGGGATCAATCTACAATGGATATTCTCCATCTAGCACATGTTTAAACTCTGCTTTGGTTGCCATTAGCAAGAATGACCTGTGATTGAGCCTCATTAAAGATGTAGATGCAACAGATATCAGCATCTGT